CCGTCTTACAAGGGAGGAAGCTGAAGCGTTGGGAGTGATGTCACTTGCCCAAGGCCACCCAGGTGATGAATGGTGGAGTTGGCCCTCAAATCCAGGAGAGTAGGTGTGCCCAGGCTGATAAACAGGTGGCTCACTGGGTGAGCAGAGCAGCCCTGAAACCCAAGGGAGAAGCACTGCTCCCCAGCTGCTCAAAGCATGGTGTTGGCTGGGATCAGAGTCCCACGAGCTCAGTAAAGAAACTAGTGAACCCCAAACAGCAATCTCACGGGATAAGGAGGGGTTTCCCATACAAGAGCAGGCCAGGGCAAGGGTGTGACAAAGCTCTGACTAGTGACCTAAAGGGCTTGGCCTGCTAGGCTCTATGATCACAGAGCCCTGAGCAAGAACTTCTGACATCACCTTTCAGGAAGGTCAAGTTTGGTTTGCAGAACTTGATGAAGCCATTCCTAACTCCACCAAAACTGTTTAGCAAGAAAAGCTGGGGGAGCTCTGATCCACAGTAGTTGAGATCAGAATCACCTGGCTTCCTGGAGCAGTCCTAGACTGGGTGGACCCCAAGGCTGGTCCAGGCGCAACAAGCCATTATTAACGCCCTATCTGCACCTGGCATGACGTCGCTGCCGGGCACCATGTGGGAGGATAAAGTGAGGACAGTGAAAGGAAGCCCTTGGAAAGTTGCAGGCTTCAGATAAACATCAGGAGGAGGATAATTATGATGAGGATATGATCCCCACACTTCGAGGACTTTCCATCTAAAACAATAATGCAGAGGCAGGTGTGGTGGCTCACACCTATAATCACAGTGCTTTGGGAGGCCGAGGCAGGAAGATTCCTTGAGACCAGGAGTTTGAGACCAGTCTGGGCAACATAGCAAGACCCTCGTCTCTACCAAAAAAAAAAAAAAAAAAAAAGCCATGCATGGTGGCACATGCCTATAGTCCTAGCTACACAGGAGGCTTGGGTGGGAGGATCCCTTGAACCCAGGAGTTCAAGGCTGAAACGAACTAAGACTATGCCACTTACTCCAGCCTGGGCCAGAGCAAGATCCTGTCTCTAAAATAAATTTAAAAAATTATATGGGGAGCATTGACAAGCTAGGACAGCCTAAAGACTGCACCTGCTCAGAAGGGCATGAATAGGCAGGAGACAGGGCAAAGAGCCACAGACTTTGCAAGGTCATCTCAAAGTCTATATTTCCCATTAAATTCACTTTTGAAAAATAATATATCCATCTTTTAAAAAAGGTATTCATAAAAAGGAAAATAGGAATTAACTCCAATTCAGGTGTTAAAGGACTGGGTTTCTGATACTGTACAAGCCCCAAGGGCACTTTGGCTTCCTATTGACCTGAGAGGCCTCTTGGACTGGGAGAAGCCACCCAATTGTTAGCTTGCTCAGGGGGCCAGGAGCCGTGCAGGAGTCAGCCTCGGTCCTGCTTGTCTTATCAGTCGCTTGTTGCAATGAAGCCCAGCTCCAAGCAGACCCTAAGCCAAAGCACCTGCAGAAGTCACTTCCTGAGGGTAGGGCCATGACAGCTCTGCCCCTTGCCGTAGTCTCAACCTCTCTGCCTATCTCCACTCCACCCCAGACCATTAGCATAGGTCAGATCTCAACTTTGCTCTGCTTAGTGTCCTGCCAGGTGAAGTCCAAACTCCTGGGCTGTTACTTCTGTTACCCCACACCAGGGGACCCATAGCCTTGACCTGGGGCACTGGGCTCCCAATTGCTATGCTACTCCCAGCTGTCTCCAGTACTCCAGCTGCCTGCTCCTCTTTGGATGCCTGGCTCTGACATCAGCAGATTCAGTCCTGAGGACTTCCTGAGGGTGGGACCAGGTGTCACATAAAGACCACCACACAGGCTGGGCTCAGTGAATGTGTGTGCATGGAGGGAACATGCCACCTCTGTTCTGAAGGCCAAGGAGAAGCTCTCCTGGGTAAGGAAGAATTAGTTTCATGAGGCAGTGTAGAGTTGGAAAAGATTTTTCTTGTGCTGTCATGAAGGTCCCCTATCCTCACCCCCAGGTCTTGGATAATGATAATGGCAGTAATAGGAGCAGCACCCAACACATCAGCACTGCATGGGATTGTTGCACACTGCTCAAGGAACTTCACACAGGCTGACACATTTAATCCTCCCACGACGTCTGTGAAGTGGGTACTATTATCAGCTCTGTGTGCCAGATTCAGAAAGTGAGACAAAGAGAGGTTAAGTGACTTGCCTAAGGTCACCAAGCTAGACAATGGTGAAGCCAAAGTTCTGAGCTACGTTTCCCCACAGGCTCGCTTGGCTTCTAGGCCTTTCCTTTATATAGAGGCATCTGCTGAAGGGGTCGCCCTGGAGAGGATCACGATTGGGTACCTGGCTCTCAGATTGATGCTAAGTGGGCCACAAACATCCACAGAAGTGGTCTCACCACATTGGGCCACACCAGCCTGTTGAGCAGGAAGGTAGTCCTTGAAGACTGTGAGCTTCCATAACGGGTACTCTGCTCATGTCACCCAGGGGCTGGAGGCCGTGACTTACTCAGAAAACAGCCTTGGCTACTGCCCATTACACCCCCATGGCTCTGCTCTGGAAGGATGTTTTGCAGGACAGAGGCCTGAAGGACCCAGAAGGCAGTTTCCTTCTCAGAGGCCACTTTCTTGTGAGGGAGGGAAGAGACAACGAGGAAGGGTGGAACAAAGAATAGCATGATTCAGATGAAGGACTTTGAAGCCAGAGCACAGAGGCACTTCAGCACCAGGTGGATGGTCAGGTGTGCCCAGGGAGGGTCTGGGGGGCAGGGATACCTGAGGCTAATACCCACAGACCAGGCAGGAAGCCCGGCTGAGGAAGCCACCTGGGAAGATGGATGGTGATGGCCACCTGGCTCCAGGCTGCAGGAAAGGGCTGGGTCAGTCTTGACCATCCAGAGAGGAGCCTGCTATAAGCCTAACCTCAGCTGGGCCAATCTCAGAAGAAAAGAGTAGAAAAGCTTCCAGCATCTTGGTGGAGACAGCTCTAGCTGTGGCTGGAATACCTTAGCCAGAGTTCCAACCTGGTGAGAATGAGAAAGGAGAGACAGGTGGCCCTGGAAAACAACCAATGACCAGGCCTGAGGAGAATATGGCCGCATGAACTCGAAGGCACTATATACAGTTCTGAAAATGAGTTGAAATCTAAGGCCTCAGCTGGGGCTTCCTCTGTGGAATCCAAGTTTCCTCAGGACATACTGAGACCATCAAGAACACTCCTCACTTTGTGGCATCCAGAAACACACAGTTTTGCAAAGCAGGTGACTGGCTGATATTCTTGGCATCTGGTCGGGGGTGGACTGCCATTTGGATTTGCAAAGGGGCTGAATGCTGTGAGGGGTGACCAGGGTGCCACATCCAGATATCCAGCCACAGGCTAGCCTTTACTTATTCTCTGTGATGCAAATTTCTTACAAAGTTACTATCATACTCCTAACACATAACAAAACCTTCCATAGGCACCCCTAAACACAGTGACAGGAAATGTTTTTAGTGTTATACTCCTCTGGATCCAATGACGCTATTTTTAAACATCTTCTCAGACTTAATTTCCAATTTTATCCTATAAAGTTCTAATTGATTCTACCTCCCCTGATCTCTCACTTGACAAGGCTGTGAAAAACATTAGGCGGCTTCTGATGGGTTTGAAGCAGGGTCTTTTTTAAGTCTTTGCATGCTGCTCACATCTCTTAGCACATGCCTTCTTCTCAGGGGTTCACAGGCTTTCCACAAGGTCTGTACACTGCACCCTGTAGTCCTGCAACCCCCAGTCTTGACACCTGGCCTTTCCCTTCAAGTGTGCTTCCTTCAGAGGGTCCATGGTGTGCAGTCCCAGCTGGGCTCCTGGCATGCCTTGGAAGAGCTTTTCTCACTGAGCTCATGATCCCGAGGGGAGGAAAGGATGCCATACCACCTCAGCCCCATGTCCACTAGTACGTTAAGGGTCCTTTGTGTCCTTCATGTGGGTAGAACTGGAGCCCACTCTTCCCTGCTGCTGCCTACCCCTCTGGCTTTAATATCTCTCTCTTTTTCTCATGGGCCACATGTGTCCCCTGCTGAAGCCTCCTGCATTGTCATGGGAGAGGGGGATCTGCAGAGTCCTACCTGGCACCAAGAGTCAAGGAGACAAGGAATTGGAAGACCTTTAAATCCTGCCTTGCCCCCCACCCCTCCATCTACATGCCACATGCCAGTCACCCTGAGCTTTGCTCATTCCTTGGACATGTCCATGGCCTCCTCCAGACCTGCAGGTAGGCTGCTCCCTCTGCCAGGAACACTCTTCCTTCCTAGGGTGAGATGCTCCACTGGGCATGCCCAGTACTGGCTTGTACCTCTTACTGAAACTGCTGCACGATAAGTCTGTGTTGAGAGCTGCCAACCTGAGTTCCAGAGGGCAGGGGCCATATCCATCTCACTGATGAGGGTGGTCAGGGTCACAGCTAACATTTATTGAGCAGCTACCTAGAGCCAGGCATGGGCCAAACATTTCCCATACACTGATCTTTCTCAATTCTCACCATTAACTGGGAGGAAGAGTCCATAACCCTGCTGCATATTACAGATAAACACACTAGGGCTTACAGAACTGAAAGGATTTCCCTAAGGTTGCTTGGAGGATAAGAAAGGGGCCAGGCTTGAACTCAGAGCCTAGATTCTCAGAAGCCTCGACATATACTCACAGTCCCTTGGCATGTCCCTGGAGTGCCCATCCAGCAAAGTGTGGGATGAATGGGTAAATACAGTGTTTATTTTAAAGCTCTGCTATGGCCCAGCATTGGGGATTTTAGCATGTATTGGTCTGGTCAGGACTTGGATGGCTCCAAGAGCCAGGAACCTGGGGCAGGCACTGAAATTTTGTTAATCTGGACTGGAATATAGGTCCATTATGTTTCTTTCTTTTTTCTTTTTTTCTTAATTCAGCACCTGCTAGTCAACTTCAGATGGTCCAAATGCTGGATCAAGGGTAAACTCGCAGTAGCCTACCTGTGTGAGGACATCCAGCTGGCCCACAATGTGCTCCAGTGTGTTGGTCAGTGTCTGGGGTATGCTCACAGGCTCCTGGGGCTGGCTCTGCACCGACTCTACATTCCTGCCTCTGCCCGGAGGGATGGGGAAATCCACTTCTGGCTAGTTAAAGACAGAAAGAAGAGAGTCCTTCAGTCTACCAGTGCTTGAGGAAATACTAAGAGAAATAGGCCCTCCAAAGGAATAAAGGGAAAACCACCAGCAGACTTGAGAAAGTGAGTTCCAGGTGTTGGTGAGAAGCGACAGTGCGGCTATGTTCTGACATCTGAGGCCACACGCTTTTGGGCAGAGGCCATGAGAGAGTAGAATGAGAGTGCCTGGCAGTCCAGGCTGGAAGGGGCCAGGGGCATGGACAGGTAGGCCAGTGAGTGACCTCAGCCTGCTCTTGGAGGTCCTCAGGGAGGCTGGCCCATTTCCCATCTTTTTACATAGCTTGCACTTGCCAGTAGGCATCTAACCCTGAAGTCACACCCCCCTCCTAGTCAGTTCAACACCAATTCCCCACTCCCCAACATGGGGATGTCCCAGGATTCACTAATGCCTTCCAAGGCCCTAGGAGTAGTGACCCAAATTAGGTGAAGAGGAATGTTTCAACCCCATCCTGGCCCAGATCCCTTGGGAAAACACAGATTTCTTTTTTTTTGAGTTGGAGTCTCACTCTGTCGCCCAGACCTGCTGGGCTCCAGCGATCCTTCAGCCTCAGCCCTCCACGTAGCCGGAATTACAGGCATGCGCTACCACGCCCGGCTGATTTTTTGATTTATTGTAGAGATGAGGTCTTGCTGCCCAGGCGGGTCTCGAACCCGCGGGCTCAGGCAATCCACTCACCTCAGCCTCCCAAAGGCACGGGATTACAGGCTGAGCCACCGAGCCTGGCTGAAAACACAGATTTCTGTGTGAATGTCCCAGGCGGAGGACTGGTGAGAATCAGAATCCACAGGATAGGCACCCCTGGGTTGCTTCGGACAGAACTCCAGAAGGGTGAGTGAGGAGCTTGATGTTTCTGCCTAAGGCCCTGCAGTCCCCAAATTCAGAAACATCAGCCCTTCCCTGCCCTCCTGATGTGCAAAGGCTTCTCCTGGCCTAGGAAGCGCCGTGCACTTGTTCAGCTGGGTGGGATGCTAGAGCAATGGCTGTCCAAGGGCAGGGCCAGCAGATGCTCCAGTTCTAGTCTTGAAGCCTGCAATTCCTCTGTGGACTTGTGCCCTGTGGGATTGCCATGCTCAGCGATGGCCCACACTCTTGCAAGTCCAAAACTCCAGTTACCTATAAATGTAGCCACACTCAAGACTCAGGATTTTAAATCATCACCTCACCAACAGACATTCTTCGCCAGGCCTCCAGGCTCTCTGCTACCTTTGGGAGAAAACCCAAACCTTTTGGCAGGGCACTCCAATCTCTGCACCCTGGTCCAGCTCATGTGGTCCCCTCTGATGGGGATGCCTTCATCCACCTTTCCTTGCCTTGCTGCAAGCATCCTGTCCTCTCACCACACAAGCCCAACTCCTAATCGGGAGTTACTCTGGCTATGAGAGGAGCTCATCTAGGATACCTGTGCCCGTCCGGCAGCCCTGACAACACTGGGCTGCCTGCAGACCCACAAACACAGCTGGCCACATCTCCTCTGAGGCTCCTTTCTCTTGGACTAACCCACAGTGCCCCAGCCTTGGGAAGATGCTTTGCCTTGGGCATGCTCACTTGGGTGAGCATGAGAGTCCCTGAAAAGAATCAGCTCAGGAGGATTCCCAACCAGCAAAGGACAAATGCAAAGGCAGTTCAGCATGGGGAACCTACCTGCATATTTTCCTTTACTAGAAAAGTACTCTAGAGTGAGGAAAGCAGGACTGAGTATGTGGTGAGGGGGAGAAGGGAATGAAAAAAAAAAGTGTTCTAATATCATAGATCACAAACTTTCAAGGGCATGTTGATTGAACTTGGAAAATGCAGGCCCTGGTGACTAAAGGAGAACTTGAATGTAAGAAATGAGCCAGAGAGATGTTCTTGAGAACAGGAGCAGCGCTGCTAGGTCCACACGCCTACCATTAGCATGTCTACCCTGTCTGTGGCCATTTGTAAGACCTCAGCCATCAGGGCTGGGGATCTTCCAGTTCTCTAGGAATCAATGTACTTCAGATCTCACTGCCCATCTGGAAGTCCATCCCAAAAGGACACATTTAAGAAGCCCACTAGACTTGCCAGGACAGCCTTCAGCCTACCACAATGGCCCGTAGGCCCTGGCAGTTCTGTCGAGACAGAGGAGAGTGCAGTGGTGAAGAACGGTGACTCAGACAGGCATTGGCTGAAATCCAAGCTCTGCCACTGACCAGCTAGGCGGAAGTGGGCAAGAGACTTAACTTTTTTGAGCTTCTACTTTCTCATCTATAAAATAAGGGTGATGACTAGGCCAGTCCTTCAAATGGCAAGGCTGTAATAGGCACTTATCTGAAGTCACTAGCAGGCTTTTCCTGAGAAATGTTCACAGTTCTGTGCCCATTCCTTCCAGAAGACATCCCCCTTACAGACGCGCACACTCTTCCATTGGAAGGAGATGCAAGCAGGCAGCTCTTCTGTCCTGACAGCCAGCATTGTCATGGAATGGGCCAGGTCAGAGCTGCTGGCTGCCTAGGAAGGAGGGAATGGAAATTCCAAGTGTTTCTGCAGAATGGCCCAGAAACGGACATTGCTGAGTTTGCCCTCTGGAAGTACAGTGCAGGGAGGCAGGGCGAGCACCACTGGCTCTAGTGCTAGAAACCCTCCTGCACAAGCCAAAGAGGGGCCAGCTCCAAGAGAATATTAAGGACAGCAGCCACAGTGCTCCGAGCTGGAGAGATGGACACTAGTCTAGAGCGTTTCAGGAGCCACCATATTTCCCAACTATACTACACTTTCATAGGCTGTCTCCATTTTACAACAAAGGGAACTAACTAGGGTTAAGACGGAATTAATGCCCGAAGGTATCACCCACAAACCCGAGGGTTGCTCTGAGCCATTTCTCTGCCTCCTTGCCTCTCCCACCAGAAGACACTGCAGCACTTATCACTCCACCAGCCTGGCAATCACTGTTGTTTACTTGCCACTCACTATGTGCCCTCATTTATGTCACCTCATCTAATACATGTCACCTCACTTCATCCTTATGAAGTCCCTTCCCAATAGGCATTATTAATCTTATTTTTTAGATGAGGAAACCTGGGCTCAGAGAGGTTAAGTAACTCGCTCTAAGTCACTCAGCAAGTAATAGAGTTGGAAATCTGAACCCAAAGTCCAGGCTCTTCTCAGACATCAGGTGCCCTCTGGCAGGTGACATCAGTTCAACTTCCATGTGTACAGTTCCTCCTGGCATTCCTGTGGAGGTCCCCAGCTCCTGGGCCTAATACTTGTAGTGTCACTTCCCTACCCTGCCTTTCTTGGAATGCCTGCCCAGCACAGGGATGAACTAAGAGCCGGCACTCCACAAACACTCGACGTCTCAAAGAACCAAGCCCACTGTGAGAAGTTCCCATGTAATGAAACCTCCCCACTCACAATGTGCACTGCAGCCAAGGGCCAACAGCCTCGCCTCCCACAGAACTGTAGCTACTCACCTGCACTCCAGCACTCAGGAGCTGTGGCATTTCCCTGAGAGCTTGGCAAATAAGCAAGAAGGCAAAGATAAGAAAACCATGCGCAAGAGTGGCTAGAGACGCTTGTACCAGGACCATGAGCAATGACAGTGGCAGAATAACCTGAGCAGCATGTAAATGCAAAAATCACTCAGCATTTTGTCTATCACCACCAAAGGGTCCTAGGGGTTTTGCCTGGTGGTTCGGTTAAGTATATCATAAATAAAATCACAACAAATATCTATCTATTTTTTGAGTAGGAGTCTCACTCTGTTGCCCAGGCTGGAGTGTAGTAGCACATTCATAGCCACTGCAGCCTCGGCCTGCTGAGCTCAAGCAATCCTTCTGCCTCAGCCTTCCAAGTAGCTGAAACCACAGGCATGTGGCACCACACCCAGCTAATTTTTTGATTTATTATGGAGATGAGGTCTCACCAAGTTGCCCGGGTTGGTCTCAAACCCGTGGGTTCAAGCAATCTTCTCACCTCGGCCTCCCAAAGTACCTGGCTCACAATGAAGGTTAACCCACACATACACACATTTAGATCTACAACAAGTCAACAACTTTTCACTTCTACCAAATATAAACATCTTAATATCAAAACAAAAAAAAGGTGCCTCTTAAGAGATGAATCTACTTAACTCTGGAAAGTCTCACTTGGGGTCTGCAGGTATCTCCTCTCACACAACCCAGGTGCTGGGCCCTGGGCTCTCACAGGAGGTTAGTGTGTTGCCTGCCTCAGTTCCTTTGCTGCCTGTTTGTCATCCGTCACCAGGAACTCAGTGCTTTGCACAGCAGGAATCATGCCTAAATATCTGTGGCTGGTGCTCAGCCACCCAGACACGTGAGGAACCAAGCCATAAAGCTTCATGGAAAAACAAAACAAGGCTGGGCGCGGTGGCTCAAGTCTGTAATCCCAGCACTTGGGGAGGCTGAGGCAAGAGGATTGCCTGAGCCCAGGGGTTCGAGACCAGCCTGGGCAACTTGGCGAGACCTCATCTCTACTATAAATAAAAAATTAGCCGGGGGTGGTAGCGCATGCCTGTAGTTCCAGCACTTGGAAGGCTGAAGTGGAAGGATCGCCTGAGCCCAGCAGGTCAAGGTTGTGGTTAGCCATGAGCATCCCACTACACTCCAGCCTGGGCGACAAAATGAGATTCCAACTCAAACAAAAACAAAAACAAAAACAAAAAAACCAGGGCCAGGTGCAGTGGCCTATAATCCCAGCACTTTGGTAGGCTGAAGCAGGAAGAGTATTTGAGACCAGCCTGGGCAATATAGTGAGACTTCGTCACTATAAAAAAACCAAAAAATTAGCCAAGTCTGGTGGTGCCCACTTGTAGTCCCAGTCACTCAGGAGGCTGAGGCAGGTAGAATGCCTGAGCCCAGGAGATCAGACTCTGGCTACCTTCAAGATCATTTTCTTAATCCTTGATTTATCTATAGTTTGAAGTCTTTCATAATTTTCTGAATATTCTTGGCCATTATCTTTTCAATAGC